ACGGGCGGGAGCGGCCTTGGGAGCTTCGCCCTCGGCTCCGGCGCGAGGGCGACACCTGTCGGTCGGCGGGAGCAAGACTTCGGGATCCTCCAGAGCAGCGGTTCTCAACCTGTGCGTCGCGACCCCTTTGGGGGTCAGACGACCCTTTCACAGGGGATGCCTAAGACCATCCGCAAACACATATATAATTACATATTGTTTTTGTGATTAATAACTATGCTTTAATTATGTTCAATTTGTAACAATGAAATTGGGGGTCACCACAACATGAGGAACTGTATTAAAGGGTCGCAGCATTAGGAAGGTTGAGAACCACTGCTCCAGAGCCTGCGCGGGTCCCTCTTGTCCTGGGATGTGGCCCAGGAAACCCAGAGATGGGAAGCACCCACCTTGTGCCAGACACTCAGGCTCCCACAGTGTAAGGAGCGAAGGCTAACTGGTGTAGGGAATACTTTTTTAAAAAATTTAATGTTTTTATTGATTTCAGAGAGAAGGGAGAATCATCAATGACGAGGATCATCAACTGGCTGCCTCTAGCACGCCCCCTAGTGGGGATGGAGCCCGGGCATGTGCCCTGACTGACCTCCCGGTTCATGGGTGGAGGCTCAACCACTGAGCCACACGGATGGGGCAGGGAGTAATTTGACTTCACTGTGAAGGAGTTAACTGGTATCTGGAGGGGCACAAGGCATTGACTTTTTGAAGAAAAAAAACACACAAAAAACTGGATGGGAGTTAATAGGATAGGGATATCCTATCAATGTTGATAGGAATGAAGCCAGGAGAGGGAGGGTAAAACAGAGGCAGAGGGTGGGGTTCTGAGCACAACCGGAGAGAATGACCCTTCTACGGGAAGCCGTAGTCAAGACACCTTTTCTTCATAAACGGACAGCCTCGCTGCTCACGTAGGTGTGTTTGTAGGTTTGGTGGGAGGAGCTGGAGCTTCTTTCATCAGCTACAGGAGGGGAGGTGTTAGGAGAGTATAACAGATTTAAATACTCAGGGGAATCAAAGAGCTGACTACTGAACCCTCACCTGGCTGCACCAATGATCTAGTTGAACTTGGAGACCATAAAGTCATCATGGCCTCAATGTGTACACTATCATTTTCAACACTTTGGACCCAGCAGCCAGGAAGTTAAAGATAAGGCGGACAATTGAATTCATCCAGGTGGGTGGGAGGGGGTTCTGGGTTGTTGATGAAGTAGTTAAAGTGATCAAAGGTCAAAAGTGGAGAAGGAAAAACGAAGAATCAACGGTGGAGTCTAACTGGGTAGAAAATGAAGAGGTTTAATAGAACAGCGAGAAGGGAACGACTCTTAAGGTTCAATAACGTAAGAGGAGTGCGAGGGAGACCTGAAGAGCATCGAGGTTGTGGTCGGAGAGGATGTCTGTACCTTTCAGAGGTCGTGCAATTCCACACAATAAGGCACACCGTGTGGACCTGAGAAGTGGCTGGCGTGGATGGTGAAGGTACTGGAGGAGAGAAAGTGGAAAGCGAGGTTCGGATGGGTTGTCTACCCCACATGGGCACCGAGGCCACTCAGTATGAAGGTTTGGTAGTAGGAAGTGAATCAGGTGTCAAACCAGAGACATATTTTGTTTGAAATCAGTTAAGAAATGGGCACAGCCTTAGCTGGTTTGACTCAGTGGATAGAGCGTTGACCTGCAGACTGAAGGGTCCCGGGTTCGATTCCAGTCAAGGGCATGTACCTCGGTTGCAGGCTCCTGGCCCTGGTCGGGGGTATGCAGGAGGCAACCAATCAATGTGTTTCTCTCACATCAACGTTCCTGTCTTTCCCTCTCTCTTCCACTCTCTCTAAAAATCAATGGAAAAGTATTTTTGGGTGAGGATTAAAAAAAAAACAAAAAAACACACAAGAATAGCAACAAAGAAACCAATTAAATTTAATATTCATTATACAAAAACATGAAAATAAAGGCCCAGCCTAACAACCTTAAAAAAGAAAAGAAAAAAAGGAGCCCTAACCAGTTTGGCTCAGTGGATAGAGCATCAGCCTGCGGACTGAAAGGTCCCAGGTTTGATTCCGGTCAAGGGCATGTACCTTGGTTGCGGGTACATCCCCAGTAGGGGGTGTGCAGGAGGCAGCAGATCGATATTTCTCTCTCATCGATGTTTCTAACTCTCTATCCATCTCCCTTCCTCTCTGTAAAAAATCAATTAAAAAATATATATAAAAGGAAATGGGGCACAAAAGCTGAATCTGTATTAAATAAAATTGGTTAAGTCATGACAGCCTCAATTAGAGCTTTGACAGTTATGATGGATATAAAAGGAGCACTTGCTATGGTGAATTGTGAATGGTATCTGGCAGTTGTCTAGATGGTAAAGACAGAGGGTAGAGGAGTCCTAGAAAGAACCATTCAGGGGGCTCTTTCCCCCTCCCCACGTGGGAGTCTGTGCTGTGAGATTCTTTCCCCTTCCCCACGTGGGAGTCTCTACGTGTTCTTCAATACATTTCCACCTTTGCTATACAAAAAAATAAAATAAAATAAAATAATTCAGCCTTTCCTAAAGGTATCAGCTCCATTTGCCACCTAACCTGTTTCCCTGACTTGTTGCTTCTGCCTAAAATTTCGGCCTCTAGAGGGAAAAAGAGTGGGATAGTGCCCGGTGATGTGGGAAAGGACAGGGACTATAATCCAAATGGCAGGAAACCGATTGTAAATGTTTGTACTGACTCCTATTTTAACTTTTTTCAGTTCTTAGTGAAGTTCCATGTAACAACTCCATCTGGTGTCAATGGATACTATGTAGACCTAAAACAGAATACTTAATAATCTCAATTTGTGGGGCAGGTACTGGAATCATCACACTTTTTAAAAAATAGAAAATACTTTATATTCTATAGTAAATACAGGTTAGCCAGGTCCTATTATGAAGTTGGAGAAAATAGCGACATGTTACTTTGGGACCCAGAAGAATATTGCCCAACTCTGTAGCTTGGGAGGTAGACCTGAGCTTAAATTCTGCCTCCCACCAGTTAAGAAATTTTTTTAAATGAGTTATAACATTTTTATTTAAAAAAAATTTTAAATCCTCACTTGAGGATATTTTTCCACTGATTTTTAGAGAGTGGAAGAGAGAGGGAAAGACAGAGAGAAACATCAATGTGAGAGAAACACATCAATTGGTTGCCTCCTGCACAAGCCCTGCCTACGGCCCGGGCTGGGAGGAGCCTGCAACCGAGGTACGTGCCCTTGACTGGAACTGAACCCGGGACCCTTTGGTCTGCAGGCCAATGCTCTATCCACTGAGCAAAACCCACTAGGGCAGTTAATAACCTTTTAAATATGAAGTCCTTTCCCTGTGAAGTGGGTATTATAGTATTACTTACCTCATAGCGATGTTGTGAGAAACAAGTGAGAATGTGTGTTGAGTACTTAGTGCAGAGGCGGGTGCACAGTAACCACTCCCGTAGCTGTTACTGACACTAACCACAGCGAGATGGCCATCACTGCCAGAGAGGAAGGAACCAGCCGCCTTCACTTCCTACCTCCTGAGATTAGACCGAGGCCACGAAAACCTCATCAAGAAACAGATGACAGCAGATGTCATTGCTGCAGCTCCTATGACTTGCTTTACGACAGCAGCGAGGCATTCTTAATTTGTGTTGCATTACTTCTGTAAATTAAGAAGTTAAACCTGCTCTAACTGGTTTGGCTCAGTGGATAGTGCATCAGCCTGCGGACTGAAGGGTCCCAGGTTAGAATCCAGTCAAGGGAACATGCCTGGGTTGTAGGCTCGATCCCCAGTAGGGGCCCATCAATGATTCTGTCATCACTAATGTCTCTCTCTCTCTCCTCTCTCTCTCTCCCTTCCTCTCTGAAATCAATAAAAATATATTTTAAAAAAATAAAAAAGTTAAACATCAATTAACTAGAACTCTTGTGCCAAAATGGCATCTTCACACTAAACTTTTAGAAGAAAAAGACAACTGACAAAAAAAATAAATGGATAATATTTATTTTTTAAAAATTCCAGGGATGCCCCATATCAGTAAACAATCCCGTTTCTTGTGCCTCCGCTATAGCTACCTTCAGTTACAATCACTGTTCAGTGCAACATCCTGGAGGCATTCGAAATGCCTCAAACATTGGAAAACATGGACTTATCGCTAGTACACCATCCTGTTTAAGGCAGAAGTATTTTCCACAGTGGTTGGTGCAGAGTGTTTGCTGGTTAACCAGAACCACACATCCCACAGGTACTCCAGTTAACGCAGGTTTAGATCCACAAGGTCATGGAACCAGGGAGAGAAAAACGTCCCTTTTCTTCAGCAAAGTCAAGGGACCTCTGCCACATGCAACCTCACGACCTTCTTAAAAATATACAATGAAATACAATGAAAGAAATGTTACATACTCATGACTATTCTTTGAAAAAAATGAATCCTATTTAAGTTGGTACTTTTTGACTTGTGATTTTTAACCATCTTCCACAACTTACACTTAATTATACATAAGTTTTTATAAGATAATCGTTTTCAAAAGAAAAAAGAATGTTATTTATATAAAAATTTTCCGTTATAAAAAAGTGTATAAATATCATTCTGCCACATCTACTTCCTATCCTTCCTATTGCGGCTGTTCCTGTGACATGTGTGAAGTCATGAATATTAAACATGTTTGACTTCTTGGATACAAGAGTGTAGGTGACAAAAGATGGTGTCACTTCGGCAGGAGGGATGTGTTGGACATCTTTAAAATTTCAAAGTAGTTGTTAGCAATGTTAGTATTTCATTCTATTTTGCGCTGTGTAAGCTTGTCACCCCAATGTTGTCCTTAAGTGTGTTTACCCACTCACCACCATCACCACCCCCATCTCAACCTTGGGAACTCTCAGCAGCACCCCCTACAGACAGACAGGTGTAATGGTGTGGTTCAGTGATAAAGAATCTAATCTTAGACTATACCTCAGATCCTTTATCACATTATTGTGAATTTGTACAAATTCCATTTGTAGTTTAAAACTGTACTATGTAGCACATTACTAAACTATTACAAAATATCCTTTTCTGTAAAAGCATTGAAAATTTTTCTTGGGCATTTATTAGGCCTATTTCTAGCAATATTCCAAATGTTAACAAACAGGTATTTCAAAACTCCAAATATAAGGTCAGTTTTCTTAATGTCTGAAATTAGAGGAATAGGAATTCTATAGGAAAACTGACCCATGTCATCTCATGTAACCTTAAAAATAATTCAAACAAAACAAACCAGCTATATAACAAAAATCTTTCAATTATAAAACTGTTGAAAGACCATGCGTCAGTTGATCTATGAAATTATACAAGATAAAGCTGAAATAGCTGTGTTTTTTTAAACAAACCCAGTTTTCTTTTCCCCTAATGTTTTAAGAAAATGGAAAATCTGTCTTTAAATTATGCAGAGATTTAAATAAACATTTATCTGTCTCCTCTAAGAAACTAAAATGTTTCTCATCTTAAAATTATAAATATTCATAACACTCAAATTTTTTGTGTGGCCAGATTTTTATGCCGCTGAGATTAGACGGTATGGTACAATTTAGCCAAGATGTATTATAATGCTAAATTAGGTATAAAATATTATTTCTGGTATTTGTCCGTCTTCTATTGAAGTGCCATTATTATTGCCAGGTGAACTAAAAAATAAAAAAACAGCCTTGCTAGCAGATGTTTCATGCACTACTTTCTTCAATCCTTTTGTGCCATAGTGGGAATCTGGACCCTAAATGAGAACAAAGGGTTCATTAGTCATTGCCCTTTAATATACACTCAATTTAAGGTGGTGTTTTAATTCGATTGATGATCTACTTACTATGTTACCTTATAGCTCCTGTATAAAATTTTATGCCAAGTCATTTAATGAAAATGGTATTGTTGCTACAAAGCTAATTAATTATTAAAATTACTGAATAGAGAGCTTAGCTATTAGAGAATAGTGATATTGTTTTAAGAAAAAAGTTATGGCCCTAACCAGTTTGGCTCAGTGGATAGAGCATCAGCCTGCAGACCAAAGGGCCCCAAGTATGATTCGGGTCAAGGGCATGTACCTCAGTTGCGGGCGCCCGGGCCCTGGTCGGGCTCATGCAGGAAGCAACCAATCCATGTGTTTCTCTCACATCGATGTTTCTCTCTGTCTTTCCCTCTCTCTTCCACTCTCTCTAAAAATCAATGGAAAAATATCCTTGGGTGAGGATTTTAAAAAAAAGAAAAGAAAATAGTTATGCCCTGGCTGGGTAGCCCAGTTGGTTATAGTGTCGTACTGATACGCCAAGGTTGCAGGCTCTATCTCCAGTCAAGGCACATACAAGAAGCAACCAATGAATGCATAAATAAGTGGAACAACAAATCAATGTCTCTCTCTCTCTCTCTCTCTCTCTCTCTCTCTCTCTCTTCCTCTATCTAAAAAATAAATAAAGTAAAATAAAATATCTTTAAATAGCTGTTTTACTTTATCTCTGCCAAACACTTTTTCTCCTGCTCAAAGAGCTATGCCCGATGAAGAACCATTTGTCAGAGCAGAGTTGTGCTGAGAGGCACTTCCTTGCCCAGACGCTCTCCCTGTTCCTGAGAGGCTCACTGTCACCAGCTGAGACATGCAGGAGGAGACCTGGGCCCCGGCTTTCCCACCCGGGACACCCCGACGACTTACTTTGAGGGTCGCGCATGCGGTGTAGCACACGTTGGGCAGGATCTCGATGGGCTCTTTGAACATGACCCTGAATGTGCTCGCACTCCCATCACAGCTAAATCCAGTATCATTTTGTCCCAGGGTTTGCTTCTTTTCATATTCAATGATCTGTAATTTCAAAAAGAGAATTTCATTTAAGCTAAACCAACTAAAACAAAGTCTCACAGGAAAGAATTGTATAAAGCCCTCAGGAACAGCAGAATAGGCCTTTATAGCTGTGTGTTGTCATTTTTCTATACTCGCCTCTAACTGCCAAAAAGATGGCTTTAGACATGCTGTCAAGAAATGGCTATCACTCATGCAGCCAGGATGGGAGCTTGGCTGCAGGAGAAAGGAGCTCCCATTAAAGATATATGGCTTAGGAACAGGTTTTTTTGAATGTATGTATCTTATTTATTTTTTTAAAATACATTTTTATTGATTTCAGAGAGGAAGGGAGAGGGAGATAGAGACATCAATGATGAGAGAGAATCACTGATTGGCTGCCACCTGCACACCCTACTGGGGATCGAGCCCAGAACCCAGGCATTTGCCCTTGATGGGAATCAAACCGGGGACTCTTCAGTCCACAGGCCGACGCCAAACCACTAAGCCAAAGGGGCTAGGGCTGAATGCATGGATTTGAGGTAGCTGAGGGAAATGAGCCTTTACTCCTTGCTAGCTTAAGTCTCATTCCTAGGAAATTCCCGTGGCATTTCCTATATCTAAATGTTATTTTACTGAAATGAAAATGACCTTAAATGCAGTATTCACATATATGGATATGAAAAATGTGAAAACTGCCCAGGCTGGGTGGCTAAGTTGGCTGCAGCATCATCCTATACACCTGTGGGTTCAACTCCTGGTCAGGGCACGTATGAGAGGCAACCAATTGATGTTTCTCTCTCACATCTATGTTTCTCTCTCCCTTCCTCTCTCTCTCTAAAAATCAATAAAAACAGATCCTCAGGAGAGGATAAAAAGATAATAAAAATAAAAATGTGAAATTTTTGTCTTTTTTAGTTCCACAATCTGTGCCAGGCTCTGAGGGACACCCTCGAGGGGCTTCCGATCAGTGAAGACGTTACTATAAACAGTGCTCAGCACAGGACCTGCAGGGGGAGGGCTGTGCAAACGGTGAAGTAAGTGGCTTCACAGAGGAAAAGCAGGTTTTGTTAGGAAGGGATGAGGCTCCAGAGAGGAGTGTTAAAAACTCAAGTCAGAACTCACTGGGTAACAAGAGGAAGGGCTCCCATGCAAGGGAACAGCATGTGCCAAGGCCAAGGATCACACACCTGCCTTTTGCACACATCAGATAAAAATCTACTTACTATGTTACCTTATAGCTCCTGTATAAAATTTTATGCCAAGTCATTTAATGAAAATGGTATTGTTGCTACAAAGCTAATTAATTATTAAAATTACTGAATAGAGAGCTTAGCTATTAGAGAATAGTGATATTGTTTTAAGAAAAAAGTTATGGCCCTAACCAGTTTGGCTCAGTGGATAGAGCATCAGCCTGCAGACCAAAGGGCCCCAAGTACGATTCAGGTCAAGGGCATGTACCTCGGTTGCGGGCTCCTCCCCAGCCCGGGCCCTGGTCGGGCTCATGCAGGAAGCAACCAATCCATGTGTTTCTCTCACATCGATGTTTCTCTCTGTCTTTCCCTCTCTCTTCCACTCTCTCTAAAAATCAATGGAAAAATATCCTTGGGTGAGGATTTTAAAAAAAAGAAAAGAAAATAGTTATGCCCTGGCTGGGTAGCCCAGTTGGTTATAGTGTCGTACTGATACGCCAAGGTTGCAGGCTCTATCTCCAGTCAAGGCACATACAAGAAGCAACCAATGAATGCATAAATAAGTGGAACAACAAATCAATGTGTCTCTCTCTCTCTCTCTCTCTCTCTCTCTCTCTCTCTCTCTT